ATTTTGTTGTTTATCATAGTCTTCAGCCACCCTACAGTCCTTCTCTGAAATAGCTCTGAGAGGTGGGAGGGGCTCAAGAAGGGAAGGAGAGCTCTGGCCATGGTGCTGGACTCTCAGCCTGCAGGATCTCCTTGACAGGGTTTCTGTCCATGGTTCTGAACCGGCCCAGTCTGGACGCTTCAACTTTAGCTTGCCCCAGAGAACTTTTCGGTGGCAGAATCTTCATACTCAGGCCAGAAGTCACTTCCCACTCCTCCCGTCTGTAACCAAGACTCTCTGTCAGGTGTGCTTAGGAGCCAATCAGCCTTCATTTCCTGGAGTAAGAAATGAGGGGCTCAGGACACACCTGGAAACAACTGCTTTCTTTTCCATTTCTCTCAGGCTCCTTGAAGCTCAATAGGAGGGAGGAGGCTTCCTCTACTTCACCGTCTTCTAAGACCAGAGCATGAAACAGACTGTGAGACCCAATTCAACACCAAAAATAATTTTAAGTGGTCTTCCAGGATGCAGATCCAAACTTTTTTTTAAAGAGGTCAGTATTAGGACCTCAGTTTATTTATTTATTTATTTATTTATTTATTTATTTATTTATTTAAAATTACTTCATTATTACTTTAATGTGCATTATTACTTTAATATGCAGAATGTTTTTCTGCATATATGTCTGTGCACCATGTGTGTGCCTGGTGCCCTTGGAGGTAAGAAGAGAATGTGGATTCCCTGGGACTGGAGTTACAGTTATGAGCTGCCATGTGGGTACTGGGAATTGATCCCGAGCCCTCTGTAGGAGCAGCCAGCACTCTTAACTGCTGAGTCATCTCTCCAGCACCACAGATCCAACTTTATCATAACTCCCATCTCCACATTACTGAAAGGGCTTCTAAATGTGGAGATTCTGGTTTCACAGACGCAGGGAGTTCCTCCCTGGACAGAGAAGGTCATTTCTTCCATGGAGAATACTAACACTGCACAAGGAAACTCCGGACCAAGCCCCGCTCTGGGGAAGAACTTGGGGGTGCAGAGCAGCAAGGAGATTTATTCCATAAAAGGACATCTTCATTTGTCGATTTCCTTGCCCACTCCATATCTCCCTCACCAGCATAACAAAGGAATTGACATACCCAAGATGTATTCTTTTCTGAGGTAATTGATTCTCAAGTAAAAATGAAATGGAGTTATAAACAAAAAGAAACTTGTAGACAGGGTCTTATGTAGACCTAGTTGGCCTCCAATTCCCTATGTAGCTGAGGACAACCCTAAGCTCCTGATGGTCCTGTGTCTATCTCCTAAGTAGAGAGTACAGGTATGTGCCATTACTCCCAGCTTGTATCTAAGATTAGTATACAGCTCAACACAGTACTTGACACACAGGCTCTGTTATAGTATTATTCAACTCCACTGCTCATTAAAGTCAAAATGGGGGGTGGGGAGAAAGGATGAAGGAAGATTAAGTGGTGATATAGGAAGAAAGATAGAAGTAGGTAAAGTGTTACAGAAGAAAAGTGCAGGTCAAAACAGTTTGTTGAGCTGGGTGGTAAGAAAGCCAAAAAATCTGAAAGAAAGAAACAGACTTGAAGAGATGGAGGTGTCAACATGACTCGTTGCCTGGCCAGCTGCCAAGTGGTATCAGAAGTGACATTTACCTTGGTGAATTCATCATGGTCCAGGCCTGTAAACCGGACATAAAGCATTAAGAAGGAATCTATGCCCTGGGAAGTTGGGTGGTGCACTCAATCAGCATCTATCCCGCGGTCTGAGATTAGAAGCAGTGCATTAATTTTTGGTGAGAAGTGAAACTGCCAAGGGGTCAGAGTTGTGTGACAATACGCCTTCCTTTAGGAGGATGTGCACAGGGAGCCACTCTATATGGAAGCTGCTGTGTCAATGTGAGCAAGGGGCTGGAGGCTTCTACGATTGGATGGCGTCAGATCCTGAATCGCCTCAAGCCTCCAAATTCCTTGGCTGGCCCCTAATGCAACAAGTAGGATGTAGTAGAAACGCCTGTTTCTCTGAAGAGCTGGGTTTTGTTTGTTTTTAAATTTTATCTATTTTTATTTTATTTTGCTTTAGTGTTTTGTATGCATGTGTGTGTGAGGGTGCCAGATACCCTGGAACTGGAGTTATAGACAGTTGTGAGCTGCCATGTGGGTAATGGGAATTGAACCCAGGTACTGTGGAAGAGCAGTCAGTGCTCTTAACCACTGAGCCATCTCTTCAGGCCCTGTTTGTTTTAATTCAAGCTCTATTGTACAGTGCCTCCATTTAACAGAGTTAAATTAACAAAATAATATTTCTAGGCATGGTGGTGCACACCTTTAGTCCCAGCACTTGGGAGGCAAAGGCAGGCAGATTTCTGAGTTCA